CTGTCAAGCGTCAGATCCCAAGTCAGTCAGGTGCGCCGCCCCTGGATACGGACTCCTTCGGTGTCAGGTACGGTGTGGTTTGTCTAGTTCGGCGTTTTGGAGGCGAAGTGCTGGAGCGGTGTGCGAGGCAAAGTCTTGAGTTCGGATAGGGGAGTGTCCCGAACTGCCATGAGGCGGGCCAGTTTGGGTCATTGTTTTGTGTGGCTCGGGGCCTAAGGTAGAGCCCGGGCTCTTCGTAGGGAGTTCGGACAGGGGAGTATCCCGAACTGCCATGGGGCGGGCCAGTTCGAGTCACTGCTTTGTGTGGCTCGGGGCCTAAGGGAGAGTTCGGGCTCTTAGTAGGGAGGTCGGGCCCCTCGTAGGGAGTTCGGGCTCCTCGAAGGGAGTTCGGTCTCCTCGAGGGGAGTTCGGACTGCGGGTTTCTTCCCTTTGGTGTTTGTGCCCTGGGTACGCTGCTTTAAGTGTCGAGCTATTTGTTTTTTGCCACGTGGCGTGATCGCGAGGTCGGACCAAATCTTCCTTCATCACTTCCCATAGTTTGCGGGTCTAAATTATTCTGTGTAATTGTGCCATTCCCTCAAAATATTTATTCAGTTATCACATAAAACTATTTCAACGAACCAAACTGGTCAATCGATTAACCAATCGACTTCGATTCGGTTTTGATTACTGGATTTCCAAAAACGGTAATACTGTATCGACCGATAACAGATACATGCAAGTCTCATTCTCTCTCATTAATTTCATTAAATTATATTTAAGGTCGAATTACCTCTCATTAATTATATATTTACTCCTATATTTAAATGAATTTCTCTCTCATTAATTAGTTAATTACTCCTATAATTAATGCATAATTTTAAATTTAAATTTCAGTTTTAGCGCTTTATTGGAATTCTCTTCTCATTAATTTCGAGAATTAATAACCCTCTTTCTCATTAAATTCGTTTTGTTAGTATAAAACTACAAATTAGTAAAAGCAAAATTCGAACCGTAAACATTAGGCTTTAAGAACTAGAGGTTCACCACTAAGCCATGCCCATTTGATTGTTATTTGTTTATGCATTTTTATTTTAAAGTAATTTTTCTCTTTTTCTTAGTGTATGCTTATCAATAAATGTTAGAATTAATTATTAGAATTTATGTATTAATAAATATTAAGATAAATTATATTGATTATTTTAAAACTAATGTATATCAATATACATTTTAGTTTTTTTTTTGTTTTTTCACGTTTTAGTTATTCCATCATTTGTCAATAATTACTAAGTGTGTCTCGATATCTCAAATTTTATATAGAACATTAAATTACAGTTTTTTGCTTTTAAATAACTTATTTACAATCATCTAAAACTTGTAACTATCGTTATTAATATATTTTTTAGGATTTATTTAAGCTTTTTAGCATATTTATGTGTATCTTGATTTTTCGTCTATATCTATACGTATCCAAAGCATATCCCAATATGTCTCTTAAAATTATCTTTTCGATACATCTTACGTTTCCGATACTTTGAACCTTGCTCATAACTTGGTCAATATGGAATAGAGACGTAAATGTCATTCTTGTATACTTTTTCCTTATTTTTTTACCTATTTATCTTTAAAAAAAAACCCTATTTCGAAAGCCAAATTTTAATTGAATGGGGGCAATTGTAAAAAAAAAATTAAATTTCTTTATATAATTTTTATAATTATATAAAACCTTTTTTCAAATCTTAATAGGGGCAATTGACCACATTGGATTCTACTTCTACATGGATCCACCACTGCCCATGAGAGAGGGGGTTCAGAAATGGCCATTCCCCATATGGGTGAATCCCATTCCACCTAGAATGGGAATGAGATTCCCATTCCGATTAGCATAATGATTGGTAACAAAATGCGATATTCCGATTCCAAACACTTGTTTCTTGTCAACCAAATGGATCCTAAAGATACGTAGTACGAATAATTTTGATCGCCACCTCTAGTTGAATGAACCAACTAACATATCAATTGAACTAAAAGATACGATAATTTTCATCCGTGACCACCCCTTATCAGTTGGCTTTGGAGGATTACTAAAAGGTCTCGTTGCAGAAGAAAGTTAATAAATTTTTATCCATTGTAACTCAGTACGTACGATCATGGTTAGAGGTAAATCTCAGTCCGAAAAGACTGTTTTAACAACTAATTTGCTGCTTGATCGGACAAGATGAATGACACGAGAAAACCTCGAAAAATGAAGAGGGAGAGAGGGAGGTTGTATAGACAAATGGGTTTGGTAAGCGAGGAAGAAAGATGGAAAAAGACAAAGGGGTTTGAATCAGATTCACTATTCTATTATTAGGGAAAATTCCCGATTACTACCTTGTATTTTAGGCTTACTGTCACTTTGGTCCCCAAACTTTAAAATACGATATTTTACTATCCAAATTTTCAAAATGTGCCAATCTAGTATCTATTGTTAATCAGCCCGTTAAGTTGAATTTGAAAAGACATAAATACCCTTTGAATATCATCTAATTTTCTTTATCAACCATTCAAATATTGACAAAAATTGAACAGTCCTAAATCATTGTCTCTTCTATTCAATAAAGTTAGGGTCACATCTSAATGGTTGATAAAAGATTTGGGACCATTCATTTTTTGTCAACGTTTGGATGGTTGATGAAGAGAATTAGATAACATCATAACATCTAAAGGACATTTGTGTCTTTTCAAATATCACTTAATGACTGGTTAACAGGCTCATTAATTGCAATAGACCTGTTCATGGGCCAGGCTTGGACTTGGCTTTTGTCAAAATTCTAATAGGTCCGGCCCAAAGCCCGAGCCCAAGACAGTATAAAATTGGGCCCAAAACCCGGCCCGTGAACAGCTCTAAATGACATGTACTGAATTGAAATGTTTTAAAGGTTCGAATACTGAATTATCATGTTTAAAAGTTGGGGAACCAAAATGACAGTAAAATAAAAGGTACTAATCGAGATTTTTTCCTTGTTATTACGAAATTGCACAGAGAGGAAATTACACAGAAGAGGTACATAACGGCAGTACGATTGTTGTAAATTTTGTTTCATGAACGTAAGATTAGCACTAGGGAATGATCTTCGCTATTTCTGGTATTTTCTTGTTCAAAAACTTCAGRAAATTTGGCCACCTCCCTAACAAATTTTATTATTTATAACATGCTATGTTTCAATTTATTTTTAATTTTGACCATTATATCTGAATTTCAACCAAATAAGTGGATGAAATTCCAAATTTTGGAAAGATCCAAAAAGTTTGAATGAAATAAATGCACCCAAAATTTATTCCAGTTCCCCTGCTGGAAYTGAGGGCAATTCAATATATGCCCTCCTTAGTGGACCCAAACTGCAAAACGGATTTCAGATATGCACATAGATAACTGTTAAGTTAAAATAGAGGGAAAAAAAAGGAAAAGGAAAAATATATATGTTCAATTCAGTATTCGTTGAGCCACCATAAAGATTCGGCGAAAATAATATAGTAACCAACCAGCTATTGCTAGGATTTTTTTTTTTTCCTGGTTGTTGTTGTTGTTGAAAGCTATTACTAGGACCAGAAAAAATTGAGAAATATATCAACCGTCAAACATGTCTAAACATATCGACCACATATTGCACGTGTATTCACCATTCATCTTTATTCGCGATGCGTGTGATTTTCAATCCACGGAGAGCCTTTTGAATCAGTTACCGTGTAAGTATGGAATCTGCAAGGTTACTTAACAAGGAATTAACGTGGTTTTGTTTCAAATTATCTAGTAAACTATTTCAGACACAGTCATACAGGGTGTAAATATAAGGGGAAACAAAATAAAAAGATATTATTCCTCTTACCATGTATAACTTTGCTTTCCTAACTAGACAAAAACGGAGGCAATTTTACATCTCCAGGACAATATCTGCATTCACAACATGCATTTTGCATCAATTATAATGACCTATTTCTTCCTCCTCTTTTTCTGTCACTCTCATATATGTGAATATAAGCATACATGAAGATCAACATCTCATAAAAAAGAACTTACACTCGGAATCTGTCTTGACCCATTTACATCCATCATCTTCATTCCCTGTTTTGAGCATTTGTCTGTTTTCTAGGTATTTTTTGGTTGATGATGTACTTGAACTTCGTGGGTATATCCTTTTGTGAAGCATATCCTTTAGAAGCTGCAGAGTGCAGACCAAGTCCCAAAGCTTAATTTATACATGGATGTCGCCCATATACAATAGAAGACATGCAAGCAAGCTTTGTCTAGCATGAAAATATATCCAAATTTCACATGCCCAGATTGATTTTTTGAGGCAGATGATGTCCATACTCCAAGCTGAACTGTTGGGCTTGGATAATTGACGAATCCCATATTTGTATATTGGAGGTGCTATTAATTGTTGCACACTATGATCATATGGGCTTTGTCAATTATCCAAGAATAGAATTCATATTACATATGCACAATAAAAAATTAATTTGCAGGAATGTATGCATGCATGTATGTTAATGTATATATGTACCTTCTCCATCTTCGATTCTKGAAGCTGATCTCTTAAACTGGGAATTGGTGTAAAACCACTTCTACAAACAAAGATCTTCTTAAGAAGAAATGATATCGATCTTCTTCGGATTGCAGTGTTACCTTCCAAATTTACGTCTTTGCCTTTACTCACAACACTGCTACTGCATCCCGGATGATCATCATCTCTGTCATCCAAATCATGGCAAAACCTTTGACAAATCGTCCGATCGACCTCCAAACTTGATGGGCAGTTTAGGAATTTGTCTAACGGGAGATGGGTGGCTTCTCCTTCTGTTGATTCAGCTCCAGTAGGAACTGGGTTACGTGACAGTAGCTTGGTTAATTCTTTCTCTAACTTGCCAACTTCTTCAGGTGTAAAACCTAGCAAGTCTTGCGATGAAGATGGATCCTCTGGAGGGTCACACATCTCTGGCTCTTGTTTTAGATCATTATTTCCGAATGTACCAATTGCCAGCAACCCATGAGGCCAGTCACTGAATTCTTCTTTGGGCTTGTAAGGTTCTTGAAAATTTTGATCTATACAATTGATGGAAAACAAAACAATGAAACACCACTAGAAATCTTCTTCCTTTAACCTTTACTAGGTAGAGGGCAGCCGTTTTAGATTTTAATAAAATAAAATGGCAAACCATGAATTAGATGTATAATTGTTGGTTTGACGACGATCTTCCATGATAAGGGTAATTGGTTCACTAGCCAGTGAGACTGGTATAAAAAGAAAGCATTTCTCAGCAAAAATATGAGCCCTACATGATGACCCACTACAAATGCATCTTTAGCCCAAGAGAATCCTAAACAATAAACAAATTGCTGTTCATGGAGAAGTTGGAGTTCCGAGGAAAATTCTATATTACCTAATCATGCATTAGAATCCTAAAAAGTCACCTAAATTCTAGGTTAGGTTAGGTTATTTGATTCACGGTATTAGAGACATTGGCTCTGTGTATCTTCTTTTGAGGACCCCTGTGGTATCTCTCTCATATACCCATCGTGGACAATCCTATAGCCACTCCTTCAAAAATATCAAAGTCCAAGAAGGCTCCACTCACACCCTATGCCTATGGGGCCAAGAGATGCGTTGTATTTGTATGAAAAACAGAAAAAACCGAGGTGGGCAATCGAGGGAAAAGGCCCAAGTACCAAATGGATAGGGATAGGGATAGGTAGATGTGTTTGCTTTTCAGTTTTTGGGCTTATGGCCCATGGACGGACTAATCCACGTATGGATATCCAGGACAATTAATCACGCGCCGCGAGCCACCTGTATAGCACACGCCGTATAATACGTGAAAAAGAAGCCTTGGGAAAAGTCGGCCCAAAAATTTCCCAAACTAATCTCAAGGCTCAAGTATACTTTCTCCCTTTTCATGGAAAAGGAAGAGTAGGATTTAGGAACGGACTTTGACTTATCAAAAGAAACCCCTCGCGATCTGGATTTCATCGATCTGTTGAACGACCCAGATTTTGCAAAATGTCAACGTTTGAACAAAAACGACGACGACCACCCGAACAACCGGAAAACACGATAGACCTGCCTCAGAAATACAACCACCCAAGTCCTCAGTCACCCACTCAGAGAGAAGTCTATGCAGCCATTGTTGCAGTTTTTTTTTTTTGGCAACCATCAAGACTAAAAGCTAGTGGCTGATCTGATCAGAAGGTCTGGATGGCCACGAGAGGGGGCCCACTTGTCAAATATGGGTCTTGATGGCCAGAAAATGACTGAAGGGTCCCTCCCAGTCACAACAACACCCTAATAAGAAAGGAATTACGGACAACAGAGAAGAAAACAGGACCATACATAAATAGGTTCAGGCTTTCCGCTATTGGAGGATTTGAATGAATCAGGTGGATTACCCATAAGAGTTGAAAAAAAAAACACAGGTATAAAAAAGAATGAGGTGGAAGACTAGCCCATTGTTTAACAAATGGAGGAACAGTTCGATTCCTTTTGATAATTATTAACATTTAATCAACAAACTAAAAACATCAAATCATCAACGAATATCACAATATAACTAGGTTTAGATTACAGTTCTACAAATGCTAAACACAAGAAAAAGGATATATATATATATATATATATTTTTTTTTTTTTGGGAGGGGGGGGGGGGGGGGAGTGGGGAAACAGAAAGAATTGAGGTAACTGTAAAGGCTTTCAGAAACAAATAAAACATTATATTCCCACACCACAACATTAAAAACGAAGCCAAATATGGAAGTAGTGTTCTTTAATGTGATATATACTTCAACTGTGAAGGAAAAAATGAATTGATCCATCAGGCATCTACAGAGCAAAGAACACTTACGGTTAGCTGAGACCCCACTTTGTTTCTTGCTCCCCTGTTTCCTCCCCTGAAGCTTATTTTGCACCCAATTGAAGATCTGTAAGCAATTCAAAAGCCCCTGTCAACTCACTGAAGATACTAACTATCCTTCTTCACCTACATAAAAATGAAAATGACACCAAAAAAGCCTTCTTTGAAGGACATAAAACAATAACAAAGCATTTGGTTTATTTACCTTCATTATTTTTATCCGTTTTGCGTAGATTGACAGATATCGGAGTTCTATTAAAAACGCCTATGGAGGTGGTGGTGATGGGAGCAACCAATGGTGCAGGAGGTGGTGGTCCTAGAGGAATCAGGTGTGCAAGCAGAGATACTCTGAGCCAATGAGAAATTTGGTGTGTTAAATAGAGGTTCGAAGTTGGAACTTGGACTCCTGAGCCAAATGAGAAGCTGCTATTGGTTCAACTTCCCAATGCGACCTTTCTCTTCTCTCTCTCTCCGTCTTTTTTCATTCTTTTTTTTTTTTTTTCCTTTTTCCAACTACTATGCCCGTTACCCCACCATATAGTTTCATCATTGTCATATCTTAATATATATTTGGGTAAATTACACATTAGCCACCCTCCTCTTTAGAGGAGTTATGGAGTTAAACACATGACTCCGGGGAGTCAGAATCATGCATGCTCGAATCCATAGCTTGCCAACTTCCAAGTGGACTCCATTCGGAAAGAATGGGGTGGGAGAGTCACTGTGCGCAACTCCTTTGTTCAAGCAATTTGACTCCGTTTACTCTCTCATGTTTGAGTCACTTGACTCCCCTAGATCAATTTCCTTTCATACCCGGCTGACACACGTCAACATTTATAAACTAAAGGAGCTTATAAGTAATTAAGAAATTTAACTCATTTTTTTATTCTATATGGTTTTTATATGCGGAGCTAAAACTCAAGCTGACCAATTATATTTAAATATTATGCATTTTAATTTAATTTTAATAAATAATGTTTTAAATTTTGCATTGGATTTGTAATTTGGGAGTCGGTAGGCTTCTACTTCTAGTTTCAGTTAAATAAGACCCCATCTCACAACATTTACATATAATGTTTAAACCTTTTAAAATGTTAAAACTCTCTGTAGTTAGCCTGTCAGTGACCCTGAAAACTTGTATCGATACTTTTAACCTTGGCACTGAATGAGTCGTCAATCTGTAGGTTAAGAGATGAATACTTAGATTTCAATCAATGGACAAGTTGGTTAATTTCTAAAACTCAAGCTTTGTCCAGCAAATTACAAACTAGAAGCCCAAACGGGAAAACAACGAGAAGAAAGTAGCGAGGGCGTTAAGCACCTTCTTTTTTTTTCTTTGTTTTTTGGACAGTGCTGCAGGTACAGCCGTACAAGGAGTTATGGGCAAGCTCAGCCATGCAACCCAAGTTCGCGTGGGGTTGTCCCTTACCGACCGGACCACCATTCAAACATACCGATCATTCATCTTGGGGAGGGGGTCAGTTTCTCCACAATTCATTGCCATGCACAGTGCTCAATCTTCCCTCCTCCTACCCCTAATTACCTTTAGGGCCTAATGAATTAATAATTGATCCAAACATAAACAATACAAAATGGGACCCATCTCGGCACATCCATTTTTCATAAATCGGGCATATCCCTAGTGGCATGGTCACTGGAACTTCAAGGATTCCAAAAGTTTGATATTCTTTGATTATCCTGGATTTGGATATTAGAATTTGTATTTGATCAATAATCAAATTGTATGTGGATTTAATTTCGTCCAATTTAATTAAAATCAGAGTTTGACAATAAATTATTATATATATATAATTTATAATTAAAAATTATTAATTTTTAAAAGCTTTTTATTTATTTTTTGTTGTTTTAACTTTTAAATATAATAAGATAAAAGCTACAATCGGGAGTCGGGAATCGGGAAAACAGGATCCACCCGCCCGAGCCTCAATATATCAACTTGACCTAGAGTCGAGTTAGCATGTAACAGATGGTGTGACCGTGGATTTATCGTATCCATTTGGAAAGAGAATTTCATTGAGGCTGCGTTATATGAGAAAGAAGCCGAGGAAAATGTCAAACATGATGTGGGAATGCACAATAGGTGGTTTTAAGTGAATTAGTTAAACACAACTGATGATCGGGTTAGGTTGGTTGCTGGTTAAAGCATCAAGATATGTGGTAATTGTAGGAACCATTTAGTGCTGGATCTTGAACCATAGAACTTTATATATGATAATCTAAGATGGGCTCCACAGATAGATTTACATCACCCTCTTCCTTGGTTGCCCTTCTGATTTCTGATTAGTGAGGTTATGCGCAATTGAAGTGGATGGGCAGGAGCAGGAGGGACGTTTGAACAAATGATTAATTTAATCTATGCCGCAATTTCCCCTTTCAGATTGGGGGGCAGTTCACGGGGCAGGACTAACTCACTAAAGGAGTCATCAGAGAATCAGGTGCGTGCTATTAGGTATTAGCAACGAATCCTGAATGCTTGGGAGTTGAAGACTCCGCATTCCAGATTTCACCAGGACCACCACTAAAGCCGAATTCACATCTGCTAATCAAAGTATGAAACACGGACACAGCACAGCAGGATACCCCTTTTTGATTTAAATTCAAGACACTAAACTCCAAACCAAAGTGATCTGCTTTTGCTTAACTGCTAATGTGTCCATGTTTCCTTGGGTGTTGCAAGAAAGTATTGTAACCGTGGTCGCAGCAGTAGATGTGATCTCATTACATGCATACACAGTAGTAGACTAGTAGTACACACATGAGAATAGCATTACCGCCCAACTCAGATATGAAATAGCAGTATACGGGCAAGAGTGATGGCCCCATGTTCCGGACTCCGAAGTCCACGCCTTAATCTTCATCTCGGCTCTCAATTATCTATTCAGTGGTCAGTGCAGATCCCAATAGGTGATAATTAATTATGAATTTAACTAAGCTAAGCTTGACACAAAAATTATGCCTCCAGCCCGGCACCCCTCCCCAATTTCTCGTCATGAGTGCTCCATTGGACACCATCCAGCCACGTGAAAGTGGAGGGTTTTGGTAATTCTTTAGTGCAAGTGGGTAATATATCGGGGTGGGGGGTGCAGCCACGTGTCACGACAACATTGGGATGATTTGTACCTCTGTTTTTTTGGCTCAACACGTGTGTCAAGGGGTCGGGTTGACTTTTCTACGATATCTATCTCATTCCCCATACGGCCATACTCTCACTGGTCTACTGCTATGGTTCTCGTTAAGCCTGATTCATTAACTCTACTATATTAATAGTTTCACTCGTTAGCCTCTAATACAACTTTTTACCTTCTTCACCGCCAATCCATCACTAACATCACATCACTCTAGAAAAGTATCTTATATATATAACTATTCGATCTGTCTATTTTACTAAAGATGGATGGTTAGGATGCTATGATGTATGAATGTTGTACTACACAGATAAATATCAGGACCTCTTCTTTCTAATTTTTCCCCTAGAATTCAATTAACACAAACACACTACCAAAGAATTAAAGGAAAATCAAGTGGTTTGTTCTTTAACATGCAACGTAAACACTAATTGGTAATTGCAAGCTGTCTTTCGGTTATTGTGAAACTCTAGTCCATAGTCGTAGTTGTGAGCTCTAGATACAAGAACAGTACTGGACCTTACTCCATGTGGTTTAGTTAGAAGTTTCACAAAGATTATTTCACTATCATGCCTAGAATTCCCCATTCAGATCCCTCGAGATGTATGTCTAGGCCCAATGAAAAAGAGGGATATTAAAGCAACAAAAGGAGAGCACTCTAACCACCGCATTATTTATAAATTTAGCAAATGAGGATGAAGCCATGTGATTCATCTCAACAAGTGGGGTTTGGTATTCCAAGTGAAAACTTGTTCATATTTTCAATACTTCCTAAATTTGGAAAGCTTTTCACCCTAACTCAGCCATAAAAGTTGAGTTATATCCTCCACAAAAATGGCAATGGCTGCTTTTCGAAGTTTGACTGGCTCCATGGCTCATCTTTCATGACTTTTAAAGTAATTTGTAAATTGTAAACAAGTATTTTCAGTCTTGAACAAAGGATGAGACGTCAAGGTTAATTTGAGATTAATAAAAAGTGTTAACATGAGGGAGATCTTTTTTCTTTTTCTTTTTCTTTTTTTTTTCAGATATTGCATTATAAGGGGACTATGGAGTTGGAACACTATGAAATGGGAACATATGAAGACGCAAACAGTCACATGTGAAGTCCACTGACCTTGCCAGTTGCCATGAAGAGCCTGCGGTTACACAGGTTTGATCCTTATACCTCTAATTTTGGAGGGGGTGCAGAGGTGACCTTCTCTGTTCAGCGGCAGTGGCGGTGGCAACACATTCCCCACCACAACAAGAGCACCACCTCCTCAGTCCCCACCAGGTCTCTCTTTCTCTCTCTCTCTCTATTTTCTCTTTTTTCACCCACTCACAAATAACCACCACGGCACCTCAGTGGTGCCTCACCACCACCGCACCATTAAGCCTCACCAGTGTAAACAATGTCCGCGAATCCAATTTTTATACCTAATGACTATGAGCTTATCCATATCACCCAAATCTTGTAGGCTCCTTAATGAGCAAGAGTAGAAGCATGATAGAAAGTGAGAACAAAAGGTTTTAATAATTTAACAAAACCGGTAACAGAAGATCAAATCAAATGTTTTCAAACAAGTACAAAGCATAGTGAATTCCAGTTTCAACTTATATTGGTGCTCACCACCATGGACCACCTTGCTGAGATTCTAGGTTGGGCTTTGCGCTTGGGCTCAGGTATTTATGAGGGTCGGACTTGGGCTCAAGCTTGAGCAAATTCTATTAATGAAGAGTGAAAGCCCAGCCCGGTGAACAGGCCTAATTATCAACAGCATGGAAGAGATCTCGTACTCATAAAAAAGGCGGTATAAATACATAAGAAACACAAATTTTAATAATTTATGTAAAGTATGAATTATTGAGATACATTTTGGAAATACTACAAAATGGAATAAGAATTACGATATGCAAATATACCTCGGGAAAACAATATGAATTTTATTTAGCACCCAAAACTAGTAATTATAAGTTAAAAACTAGAACCTATATTATTTTATCAAATCTTATAATATCTAGTGGTGATTTCTCATCTTTCATACGAGATGAGAAAATTAAGGGAGTTACTACTAAATAGCCTTGAACTCTTCGTAATAACATTTAATGCATAATTTGTATACATTTTTTAAGAAGGGTTCATCCTCTGGATTGGTTCTCTAAACATTGATTGGACACATGACAGCTAATAATGATTGTTCATAAACTATTATAATTATTGTGAGCGCACCCTCAGGCAATACTACTAAAATAAAACACCAAATATGATTAAGAAGGTTCTCTAGCGA